ATAAATTAATAAATTAATAAATTAAACTAAACAAATTAATAGTTATTCTCATCTTCTTCTCAATTTTCACATTGACCGATATTTTACTTTTAATTACAGCCAACGCAGAAAATTCGATCTCACATAGGTATGAAGAACTTAAAAAAAAAATTATTTATATAAGCTTTGTTGGCCAATGCTATTTTGTATTGTAGTTTCACATGTATTACCAATATTTAGTTAACAATGATGATACAAGTATGATCTTCATTTTGGAATTTGACGTTATATCAATATTTCTCATATCATTACGCGATCATTTTATCAAGAAGCTCAAAAATGTGGATATAATTTTCTTGTAACGATTTATTTAATTGGTATACTTAACTTTGAAAAAATATTGAAAGACATAATAGTTTCGTAAAAAAACAGAGTCTTCAAACTTTTTGTGGTGTTTAGAGTGATCTAAAAGAACTGCATCTTTTACTTTTAGATCACACTGAACACCACGAAAATTTTGTACAATTATTATAGTTTCCTGTTCTTTAACAGGCTCCCTTCTTCAAATCTCATGATTACCCAAACACACAGTTTGAATACCTCTGCAATAAAGGTATAAATGTAACAAAATACCGTTTTCGAATTGTCCTCGTTGCAATTATTATATGTAATCTTATGATAAATTACGATTGAAACAGAAGAAAGGAATGAACTACAATACAAAAAGCTTTTTTTCGCACAATTTCGAGAAATGACGAGTCTGATACATTATCCAATTAACATAACATATACTGACATGCATGAGCTCTTATTTCTGTTCAAATTATTGATAGATAAAGTTAAGCAGGAGAAAATATACAAAAGTGGAATAAATATTACGACGATAATATTTGTTTAGGTACGAATGAAAAAACTAAAATGTGAAAATAATATTCTGAATAAAATTCAAAATAAATTATTTTTGAAAACTTTTAAAAATTATACCTTATTTTAACGTTGAGGAAGAAGAAAATCAGAAATGTAAAAATCACAAAAATAAATAATAAACGCTGAAGTATAATAACTGCAGTAAGTTAACAAGTTGTTAATTCATTAACTCGTTAAAACCCATAGATTTCGATACAAGCGATGTAAGATGTATGTTTAAACAATTATAAGCATAGAATAATTATTTATTTTTATTGTAATAGTTATTAAAAAAGTACAAAAATCTGAAACACGAGGACAACTGTGAATGATACGATAATAACTGCTAATTGAACTCGATATTGTTATAATATTATTAAAGCTGTTTATAAGACCACTAAACAGCGGCATAGCCAGGATTTTTTTTCGGCGGGGGGGGAGGCTGATCAATTTTTTCAAGACTTTTGTAGCGACTTTTATGGATCATTAAAATAATTTTTAAATTTTCTTTATATTTCTAATATTTCGGGGGGGGGGGGGGGGGCTGCAGCCCTCTAGCTCCACCACTGGCACTAAAATCGAACACTCATTTATTAAGAAACATAAACGTATAGTTTAGTGTTGATGCTGTTATATCGCGTAAAATACAATAATGTTTAGGGTGCTTACTTCAATTTGATGAGATTTTGTGATTCGTGACATGCAGTTAGTAATGAAGTATTTTGAAATCTCCTTTTTTTTAACCCATCAATTATTATTCTTTAATTACCGAGAAAATTATATCAATTGTTACTTTGGCATATCCAATAAATATTTTACCTCTCGAATGATATTAATACATAGCTGCCATTTTTTATTTGCCGAACAAATCGCCTAAAGATTAATTTCACGGCGGATAAATAATTCCGTATATAATAATTATATATCCGACATATATAAATATATTACATAAATTATCATCTTATTTAATAAACATTTATATTTTCGGCTAATTATTCTGTTCGACGTGGCCGAATTCTCTCTGCAGACTTCCATTAAACATTTTAAATGCTATTCACATAACCAATTTCATAATTTTTCATTATTTTATTTTTATTTTTAATTTTTACAAATCAGATGGAAAATACTCAGCTAGAATCGAATAAATAAAAAGTTCTCTTTTTCCCTATGTCATACTATAATTTTTTATCTAGCCCTCGAGCTGTGCACTTTAAGACTATGTGATTCATGTATTTTCATCGAGTTTTCTACAATGTATTCATTTGACGGTTAAAGTGGATTTTCACGTATTTCTTTAACTTTAGCTTCTTCTTTTGTAATGTATTAGATAAATGTAATTAAATTGTTTTATTGACTTAAGCATACTTGTATCGTATTTGTTCTGCTAAGTACTTATTTATTTCATTATCTAGTTACAGCCTGATCTTTTAAAATGTTTAACCAAATAATTGAAAGAAAAATAATTTGGTGTTTTTTTATTAAGAAAAAAACTTTTTTTTGCATGGTTTGAATTTTTGCTGAACATTGATAAACGTTTAAACCTTCACCAAAAAATGTTAATTAAATCAACTGTGTAAACAATAATACCCAACCGTAACTCCCATGCAATAGTAGTACTATACCATAGAAATCAGTGAAGCAAAGAGGTCCTTATTTCGTATTCTATTTTTTTTTCCGCTAATGTGTTTATTACCATTGCAAAACTCGCCGAATGAAATACTTAATAATTTCAATTCAGTCACATTATTATTTTTTTATTATAGCTACTAGTATTAAAATTATGATAGCAAAGTCACATTATCATTCGTTTACATTATATTAATAATAATAACAATTTTTAATGGTTATTTATATAAAGGTATAATTTTTAAGTTGTTGTTTAAATAAACAACAAATTATCAATATTTTATGTTATACAAAAAAAAAACCTCATTCAATAACAGTAATATATAACAGCGAAACAGTCGACGACCGGTACGGCAGTCTAACCGTACGAGATGGTAGCGTTTCACGTGCGCGATCGTTAAAAATAAATCTCGGAAATCTTACAATACTCTAACTGCTAATTCCGAAATCGTTTGGTGCGAACATTAGGATATCTCTGTAGGACGTAAACGCAGATTTTATTTTTGTTCGCGGACACTCTGCCACCGTTGATTCCGTATCAGAAAATGCCGAATCACACCTACGCGTTGTGCATCACAGAGTACAGTGGGTGCACCAAGCTTTTCTTTACAAGATCATCCTTCGTACGTTAGGTTCTACGCGGTTAATAAAAAAAAAAATAATAATAATAATAACCTTTCGACAATTAAAATCGCGTTTCGTTCGGCGGACGAAACGTTTTCGGCCGCATTCATAACGAATCCAAAAAAAATGCACTGCATCGACAATGTGCACGCGAAATGTTAGTCGTCCGCCCACCAGTTTTGTTTCGGACCAGGCCAGTTGGCGGACACGTTGACCGCGGTTAACGTGACGCCTCGCAGAACAGGTTACGGGATAACGTCGTACTCGTACGATTTTACAAACGCATTTCACTTTCCCTGCTCTCTGCGTACTACCTACTACATAGATATTCCCGTGCGTGCCGTAAAAATGGCTGTTTACCGTCAAACAAGTTGTTTTAATAATACACACTGTGTCAAGTTTGCGTTATTATTATTATTACTAGTGAATTACTAAATTACTTACGGAATCATCATAAGCTGCAGCTGGTTCGCGCGCGCACGCATTCGCGATTATAAACAACGGAGGAAGACAAATTAAATAACATTTCTCGCGCGTGAACGGAAAGAGGCCTTTGACGAAATAGATTTCGTTATGCAAAATGGTATTGTCTTGATTGTGCAATGTGTGTAAGGGGTACCTGTTCAATGTTTTTGTAGATATTTCGCGTTAGTAGGTAAATGCCAACATTAATATATTCATTTGGGTGTTGCACAGTTTTGGAAGTATTTGTGCTGAACCCGTCGCTTGTGCAATACAAATATACGTATTAGCACGATCAAAATGAAGGAATTTTTTTTTTTTTTTGACCCTGCACGTGGCTCAAGGCCTCTTTCACACGAAACCACCATGGCAGCGCTTCATCAGAAAAACACCGTCACTATTCATGCTTCCAGAAGTGCTTCTGTTTTTCGATGTAGGTTATTTTCTTAGCTATAGACATAAATTTAGTTCAGCCACAAAATAGAAGTTGAAGAGCTAACATGTGTAGTATAACTGTACAGTCGTGGTTAATACACGTAAATAATAATAACGTAATAATACACGAAAATTAATATTCTAATTTGGAAATAGATTTTTTTTTTTTTTTATGTTAATTATTTATTTTTAGCGGATTTGATTCAACGAAAGAAAATTTATTTTCAAAATTTAAATTTAATCACACCAATTTTTAATCAATTATTGATTGAATTAGGTAACAATTTATAATGTAAAATTATTCCCACAACTTAAGTGACAATGGATTCCTATTTGAAAAAAATACCATTGCCCGACGGACATCAATTTTAATAGCGATAGTAATTTCTTATAAACACAATTAACATATTAATGATATTTTTTATTTGCTGATTATGATAATTTAGTCGATTTATACCAAATCAACTGGTTCATGGAAATAATTTTAAACAACCTGATATATTCATCTTAATTGTTAGCTACTATATAAGCAACTGAAGATTTTTCCAGTTTAATTAAGAAATACGTTTCTGATATATAATGATCTTTATTTAAAATTAAAATTAGTGTTTAAAAATCCCTTCATTATTATAATATTATTTTTCATACATGTGTATAGTTACATACTTTGAACGTAAATTTTTTTTTAATTATCATTATCTAGAAACAATTTTTAATTACAAAATAAATGTTCAATAATTAAATATTTTTAGATGAATAAAATAATAATAAAAGATTTTTAACTATGTAAGAAATGTACCGATTTTCTGTAGAAAGTAAACGTGGTTTTGTGTGTTCTGATTATTTTTCATTGACACATATTAAACATCTAGTTCACTTTGAAGATGCCGTCATTTTTTTTTTTTTTACCTCACATATTTATGTTCACTAATATCATTGGTAAAAATAATGATTTTATCATGTTTTAGGATTAACTTGAAGTAGCGGAATGCAGAATGTTTTAAGGAGGATAGCGGCCACATTGGTTATTTTATGTCCTGTGGTTGTCTTTTCAATACCGGAATCGGCCATTCAAGCATCATCAATCAAATCCAGTCAAACTGAACAAGTAAAAAATATATTTCTAATTTATTCATATTTTTGTAGAGCCCCGGAAGAAAATATTAAAATGTACTTCAATCCGAATAGTACTGCTAAGTCTAAATTTAAACTAAAATTATTCAATTTAAAATATTTAAACGCAACAACTACATTTTAGTATATATTAAAAATACACTCGTGTAGAAGTTCAAAAATTAAAAATCCATTTTGTATATTATAAATTAAAGTTCTAACAAGCAAAATCTCATAACCTAAATATTTTATTTTCAATTATGACTCCTATAATCAGAGACCAAAATCTACTACTAATAAAAAAAAAAAAAAAAAAGGCAACTATATTTAATTAATTTATGATCTTTGTCTAAATTGATTATTTTGTTTACGCTATAATATATATAATATACTTATATAATATAATAATAAATTACTTATCTAACATAAAGTTACTTTATGTTATCTTCAACCGTGCTATTGTCATCGTGTGATAGCGAACTTGTCGAACGAGGCACTACGCAGCAACATTATTTAAGCACTATAATTACGTCTGTGCCAAGCGTGAGGCTTTTTTCTAAAGCAGAATCGACAATGGATCATCAGAGAAATCGTTTAACTAATATCAAATTTAACATTTATTTGTTCTTACAATATATGAATGAATATTTATGTGATTTTTTATTTTATTTTCAAGACTGAGCTATATGTTTTTAAACTATAATACTATTTTTGGTAAACTATACACCATGATATTTTGTTACATTATATACATTAACTTTTAGATATTTGATAATGTTTTTGTTTTATTTATTTTAGATTTACCATTACAATTTACAGCACAATAATTAATTAATTGTATTTATCTATTATATTAAAATAAACAAAATTTAAAATATAATATACTATATTACCATCCTCGAATTAAATAAATTTAATATTATGTTAGAAGGTTTTATGAAGGCAATATATATAATAAGGTGTACAACACATAGTAAGTAGCACAAGTGAGACAGTTTTTTTTCAATGTTTATTAACAATGAAAAAACATTGTCACGTCGATGTTATCGATGTTTTAAAAGTCGATGTATCGATAATTCAAAAATCGATATTCAAATAATTTTGCCTATCCATATTTCCTATGGACTAGAAAATATAACTTTATGTATTTTGTGCGTTTTATACTAAAATTAATCGGAATTTCTGCAGGACAACGCCGATTACTCGAGATCTTTCGACGAAGATCAAGAGGAAAAACGAGCATGGCGAGATTTGCAAACAGCTGGTTGGGGCAAACGAGGGTGGCAAAATTTGAAGACCACGTGGGGCAAGCGAGCACAGGACTGGCAAAACTTGCACTCGTCGTGGGGTAAGCGACAAGGCTGGCAAAAGTTGCACGGAGGATGGGGAAAACGCGGGTGGAAAGACATGCAATCTGCGGGCTGGGGCAAGAGATTCAATGATCAGGTACGTTATAATATTATGTTTATAAGCCAAAACTGTTCGCGTGGAAACATCAAAATATTTGTAGGAACTGACGTTTTATTTCTAAGGTTAATGTGAGGTTACGTGTTGATTATGAATTTGTATAGTTTCGTTTTCATTTTTAACAGCACACATATGCAAGTGCTTTGATGATTTCTTGATTACAAAGACAAAAGAACTTATATAATCTTTATGTGACATGCTTTTTTCATTAACAGTAGTATGACATAGTTGATCAAAAAAATACATACAATGATAGACATCATATTCATTGCTAAGCTCCTCATTCTTAAAATCTTTTATTATTCTTAATTAGCATGAAAAAAATATCTGAAATTAATAAATAGAAATATTTTTTGATTTGCATTTTCATATTTTTTCAAATAAATCTTGACGTAGATTGGTTATTATAATATATGTCGTTTGTTCTCAGAATATATTACAGTCAAAAGAGAGAGGACAATATTAATAATATAAAAATTATTTATTTAGGCATATTTGAATAATAATATCTACTATTTATATTGGTATAGTATGTGCGCCAATAAAGCGTAGGTATAATGATAAATTTGATCCCAGCACTCCATAACTACGCCGATGATATTCCTATACTTATGCATAATGCAGTTTCTGTGTTTTTTATATACAGCCAATTGGACAACTGTCTCAGTTCGATGAGTATTTAGACAAGTATGAAGATGAAAATCCAAACTTAGCAGACAAACGATCATGGGACAATTTGCAAGGATCTTGGGGCAAGAGAGCCGCTGATTGGACAAGCTTTAGAGGTAAGCCGGTAAGCCAAACATATGATTTCATTTATTTTAACTTTTAAGTCTATATCGATTATTAGTATACGATGACTAAGTTAATCAAATACAAATTAATTCATCGTATGTTTAATAGCTCGTTTTAATATTTTACTGTAGAAATTTAGTAATATGCAAATGTACAATTTAGTTTTTGCTATTATTTATTAATTTTTATTCTTTTTTTTTTCATGTACTATTCAGTAAAATTAAACAATATAACCCTACATGGACAATTAAAAAAACCAAATCACAAATTATAATCAAATATGTAGCAATGTAGATAACAAAAGTAATTACCATTTATAATATCTTATGAGAAAATGTAAAAAAAAAAAAAAATTATAAAAAAAAATCAATACACTATGATCCTCAACACATCTAATTTTATCAACAAAATAAATCAGGGTACTTCTTTACATTTATATATTGTCATAATTTAAACGCTTAACAATTGAAGGGATTTGCAAACTGAATAATTTTAAGGGATATAAGTTAAAGGGATTATAACATAATGCACATTCATACAAATGCCTCGTAGCGTTTTAATCCCTTGGGTTATAATAGTCATTATAATATTTAGTGATATTCTGTTAACACGTGTCTATGAAAACATATGAAATGCGAATTTAGATATCGGCTGAATTACACGGTATATTAATACTTTCATCAATGTATCGTAAGAGTTTCATAAAAACTAAAAACTATTGAGTAAAGTTTTTTTTTGACTCACAACAATACTTTTATTCAGATTCAAGAACGATGTTCTTAGTTAAACTATAAAAAAATTTTCATTATAAACTTTTCTATAAGAGTACTGCAATTCATAATTATAAAGTCTTCTGGGTACATATTTTGGATGAAATAAAGAATCACTATGTCCAATATATTGCTATGCGTATTAATTATTCAAATTTAATATTGTTCATAAAATTTTTTTTTTTTTTTTTTGATTTACGGTCATTGAGACCATACCGCCAAAAAAATTTCTCTCCATCTATCTCTATTTTCTGCCGCTACTCTCCATGGTATCTCTGATAAATGCTTTCCACGTCTCTTTTTACACAGTCTTCCCAACGTAAGCGTGGTTTTCCGAAGGGTCTCTTACCAACCGGGTTCTCTTCGATTGTTGTTCTGACTATGGATCCTACTCTCCACCATGCATGTCCTGTTCAGGTTAATCTCCTTTTCTTGATTTCGTTCGCGATGTTCGGTCTCTGGAACAGCTCCTCGAGTTCTTTATTATGACGTTTACGCCATTCACCTATGTTTGTTTTTGTTCATAAAAATATTGAGTTAAAAAAGCCAACTGTGAGTAAATTTTGATTTGCTTTTAATAATGAAAAACAAATGTAAAGTTATCGCATAATAATTTGTTTGAAATATATTTAGTTAAATTATAATTATAATATATGTATATGTATATTATAATCGAATTTCAAGTTCAAATTTTCAATTTAATTTATATATATAAAAAAAAAAAGAAAAAAAAAAGCAAACTTAAATAATAAAATATTTTATTCTATCGTACATGATTCATGTTTAACTGTCGTACCAAAAATATAATACTGTTTAATGAAACTACAATTTTAAGAAAATAAAATAATACTATTCAAGATGGAGCTGTGCCAAACCGTCTTAAATCCGACCAATTCAATCGTTCCAAACCATTACCCTCCGATTAATAACCTCTTGGTGTGTTTCCAATAATTCACTCCACAAAAACCTTAACATCGAAATCATCAATAAAATCACTTTACATCCAATACACAAAATTCCACTCCAAATTAGCTAATCACTCAAAACCACTGATTGCTATTAAGGGCAGTGCAAACATACCATATAATCCTCCATCGATTTAGGGACCAATTAAATCTCTAACTCAAACCACTAACCTTCGATACAAATCCTAGGTATTATTGTTTTAATTTCTAAAACTTCACCTCGTTATTTTATTAAAAACTAAATATAGATAATAAAGGTTTTTTGATAAATATTTTTAATAAATACCAAAATTTTTTATTCCATTCCTGTACTTTGGAATGTATATAACAAAATATAAGTACCTAACAATAAAATTTGAAAAAAAATGTATTTAGTGTAACCTACCTAATGGTTTTACAATAATGAAAACAATTTATTATTAAATATCTAATAACACAAAATTATGCAAAAACTTTTTGATTTAAAATGAACACGATTTAGTGGCACATTAATATCATTAGTATTTTTAATTAATAGTAGATTACAGCGATTGTGCAATAGATCACATACTACATTATTTTCGAATGGAATTCTGTAGTACTATTGTTGTCGTGAGATTTGAAAACTTTGAGAGATAGATGTAAAAATTAAACTAAACAGTTAAAGCTCCTCTCCCTAAACGTCTCTGTCATTAAATTATAATATTCAACATAGGGCATAACGATAGCGAAGTAATGAAATAAGTATATATTTATCGAATAGTATTAGTGAACATTACTCTATAAAGCTCAACATATTCCGGGTAAATAAGTAATAGGATAACTAGATTACTTAAGTATTTGAGTTATATTCAATAACCACTGTAGATAACACGGAGATTTGTGTAATAAAAATTTCACAACAAGAAACGCGAAAATTTTGATTTGGCTTTTAATGATAATACAATATGTTACGCGTAAAACAATATGGTTTAATACTTCGGTGTAAAACTTTAAATACTGTATTAGATTTTTGGATCAATTCCATATGTAAATATGATATTTTTTTTTTAAAAAAACAACATTTTTATTTACTTTTATTTATATATTTAAATTTATTTATATTTACATGTTATACATTAAGTAAATTGGATGGGATTTGATTGATAGGAATGGGAAGACACCCATTAGCAGCACCCCATAGAAAATTTTTTAGGGAGAGAGTAGGTTCCTACATCAGTTCATTTTAAGACACCTGGGTGGATTACTTGGGATTTGTTTGGATAAAAGTTGAGTAATTAAGATATTTGAGTTAGTACATAGGCGTGCACACGGTGGTGCCGGGTGTGTTCGGGCACCCCCCAAAATGTTATAAATAGGGCTTTACGATTTAAGTCTAAGAGTAACGGGCCTGTTGTTGTATACTGATGTTGCTCAAATGAAATGTAATCTACTCTAAATTATCTGGTAAAAGATAAATGGTGTTTTGTATGGACAAACTAAAACTATATGTTCTAAATTCTCGTGAGAAAACTTATTTTTATGTCATAACAGCTACATTTGACTGTAAATGTATAAATGATAAATAATTGAAACTATCTGAGAAGAATACACAAATATTCAAGGAAAATATATTGATTGGGACTAATATATCGCACAATATCAAATAGAAAATTAAAGTTACGTTTATGTAATTGTTTATCAAATGTACCTACGCGTTTTAATGGAATGGAAAATTGAAAATGAAATGTGTACATTATCGATAAACGTTGGAGTGCATTCTAAAGAGCATAAGATAAAGATGATTTGAGCGGATTTTTTAGTTGAGTTTACTTTGATTTTCCAGTTAAGAAATCAGCTTTTTAGCACGGGAACGGGTCATGTCTTCGAATGTCATGTTTTTGAAGGTCATATTTTCGAATGACGAATGTTAGAAAAATTATTTGTTCGATAAGTCGTATGAACGAAATAATATATTGAACATTATTTATTTATTATTATTATTATTATTATTATTATTTATTATTATTTTATTTTCATACGTAAATTTTTACTACATACCCGATTAATAACGTTTACTAAAAGTAATAAAGATAATATAGTAGGTACATATAGTAGATAGTAGATAGCATGATATAGCTTATTAGTAATGAGTCATTACTAATGACTTTTATACCTATAGTGGTGTGGTAAAGTATACAACAAAACATGATTGTAGTCAGTACTGAAGTTTAGTTTGTTACGTTTTATGTAATTTGTCTATTTTTTTTTTTTAAAAAAATTGTTCAATACATATTATAAAAATTATTCACGGAGGAAAAGTATTAAGCGTAAATAATTTTTATATACATTAAATAAAAGTTATAAAAGAAAACGTGATGACCAAAACGTTTTTTACTGAACATGTTCAACTAAATGTGGAGCAAAAATATGTACTGTTGTAAAATCGAACGAAGAACACAAAATTTTCGATCACATATGTATTTGAACAAATAAATTTTCTAACATTCGTCATTCGAAAATATGATCTCCGAAAACATGACATTCGAATTCATGACCCCCATCTGTTTAGCACAGAAAGGTGCTTTTAAATTTTTAGGGTTGCTTTAGTAGGATCATTGTCAATCGCGAGAATAGCAGTGTCATCCGCAAATTTATCTAATAGAGAAAATATGATGTTATGTACTTTATATTGTAATATATTTTCCAGTACTCAAATTTTCTTAGAAAAAAAAACAGACTTGGTTTTGTTTTATTATTAGATATGTGTACGAATATAAAGAAAATAATAAGAGATCTACCTGGAATTAATTTTAACTTAAATTAGTTGGTAAAATAAATTTAACAACAAATGTATTACTAAATTAAACTATGACAAATGTTATTTAGCTAAGTCAGGTGAAATAATTTTTAACATAATTTCACAGTTACATAAATATTATTTAAAAAGTTAAATAAAATAATAAAATCAATTAATTAATATTTTTTTATTTAATATTAAAAATAATTTTTAATACGTTGATGTTTTAAACATACATGTTTATTCAAGAAGATTGCTAAATTTATTCTTACTGAAACGTATTATTTGTACATACAGTAAATTTGTTTTCGTTTTTTTATGTAATGAGATTAAAACTAAACTTGTCTTAAAATAAAAAGAGTTTATAAAACAGAAATATCTAGATCACAATAAAAGTCAGTGTATAACTTCGTGCCTGCACAAATAATTTACAATTTATTTTAATCATTGATAAAAAACAGAACTTTAAACGAATTAAGTTATACGACTAGAACGACGCTATTGCATAAATATTTTACTAATGTTATACGATTACTTAAAAATTATACTAACGCTTTACTATTAAAGAAATTATCAACGCTATACGTTATTTGAATGCGTAGCATATTTAAAACAAGTAAACATACTCATTGTGCTGTTTGTTATACGTAGATAGTAAATTTAATCAGACGAATAAATAATAAAATATACTTTATATGCTTACAGGTTCGTGGGGGAAAAGAAATCCCGTGGACTACATGAACGAGTACTCGGGATATGGAGACAACGATAATTACAAAGCTTATATCTTTCCGCCAGGTAAATAACATTTAAGATGAATAATGCATAATATTCATTCAACAATCCGATTGCGCAAGCATAATTTTAATTTAAAATGTTTGCTAAGCACCTGTTATTACCGGAGTTATTCGCAACAGGTGTACATTTTAAACAGTTAAATGGTGTTAACGGTTTTTGAAAAAACAAAAAAAGTTATAAAGACATGAAACTGTTTAAAATAAAATTACTAGGTACACAACAAAATATAAAATGAAAATAATTTGACATTAAAAAATTATATAGATATCAGCGTATATACTATGTATATACTCGTACAGCGTACATAACAGCGTATATACCTCCCCTGACAGAATTCCTCCTGGTGCCTATGTATGAGATGTTGAAATTTATATTTTATTGAATTATTTCTGCGATTCTGCATGCAGAAAAGAATCTTTTGGTTTTACGATGATATAAATTTACAAATTTGATTACGTGATCCCTTTTGTTCTTTCGGTTCAACGATTGCTCCAAAAGCATTACCGATGTAAATTTTCATAACTTCCGAAACTAAACACAAATAGTATTTTTCGTATTTTATTTTATTTTATTTTTTTTATACTCTTGATTAGAAAATTGCGAAAAAAATTCAAAGAACTTAAACATATGAACGAAATACATAAATTACAATTCAAGCAAACTATTTCAATACGTTCAATTGCCTTGTTAAGGAAACCCTTGGTATCTTCAGTTCATATTGATATTTCAATGTCGGTTAGTTACATACTATGATTTTCACGAACACTTAAATCATTTTTAATTTCACTAGGCAAACATTTAGATTAATTTTATAGTTTTATGTTCACTATTCGTCCCTATATCAACGTTTTCTCGATATTCATCGTCCCTATGAAAATAGCATTTTCCAACGGAACTCAGGTTTGAATTGCTTTTCCAAAGCGACGATCATTTATCGTTTATAATATACAATAACTTTTATAGTACATCATATAACTAGTCTATAATAATGCTGTGCTTTAATAACCCTAAATTTATTATTTTGATATTAGTATTGATTTGATTTTTTTATATTTCAGGTTACAATAGTTATTTACCCAACTTCCCAACGGAATCCGAAAATTGAGACGTCGATTCTCAATTTTTGAGAGTACTCCCACAAAAAATTATTTACTATTAGCCCTAAATTTACAAACTATATACTTATATTGGATTGTGAAATATATAATATATATGTATTATGCCTCCGTAATATTATTATTTCATTCAAGTAATCAATTAAAAATATTTTTGTGCATTTATTTATACTCTTTTTTTTTTTTCTGTAAGGTATCAAAATTATAATAACTAATAAGTAAAAATATAATTACTAACTAATTAATTAATTCCTGTGATCAACAATATTAAACATCCTCATTCGACAAAGATATCAGTCAGTTAATCAATTCATTTTATTAAGTGATTTAGTTCAGCTTATTCAAGGATCAGGAAGTACATGAAAATAATTATTTATTTTTAAAATTATTTCGCTCCGCGATCGGTAGTGCATTTGGGTCAGTGCAGCACAATCCTGGGTTTTATCAACCAGGAAAAGCCGTATCGTCAAAAAGTGCACCCGATGGAATTTTGTAAACGAAAAATAGCCGAAGAGTAAAATATATTTTATTTTCGGTATTAAAAATAATTGTTGCTCTGTTTCATATCTCGTTCAGAATTATTACAACATCGGTAAATGTTTTTAATTACAGTTACAGCTGGTGTTTCGTATTATGCAACCTATATAATATTTTAATATATACAGGTATATATATATATATATATAAGTGGCGTATTTTCCCCTTTCCGAGCCTTTTTTATTTTTTTCTATTTTGCAGAAACTATAATTATAAGTTAAATTCCATTATTATGACTACTCGACTATCGTGCGTTCCCACCAAATACGGTACCCAATTTTGTAACTACAATGGAAACCGTTTCTAAAATCAATATCACTTTCTGTGTTATAATCATAGGTAATGAAGAAAAATCTATTATTCATAGTTATAATCAACAACCAATATTCTGTTCTAATATGTAGTTTATTTTTTGTTATACTTTGTAGTAAATAGTTGATTATATTGTTCGGGTTACGTATTGATTAAAATATTTTATGTTTTTAGAATAGTAAACGTTTTGACTTTGATATGTCAAAATCAAAAGTACAGATTTTGCTTACCCTGAAAATGTATTCCAAATACGTTATTGATATATATATATATATATAATATACTGTTTAATATCGGAAGATTATTACGTAGTAATTACTGGTACACCATTCCACGACGAATACATATGCTTTGTAGAATATATATACTATATATAATATATGTACTAGTATTGATAATATTGTGGATGTTATACGTTTAGCGTAAAATAACATCAAAAGGCATTTATACTTGAACGCGATTCCACAAACTGCTGGACTGTGATGTCCGATTAAATGCCTCGATGGAATTTTAAGAAATATTACGGCGGTCGAGTTGAAAACAAAAAAATGTTGATTGTTACGTGCGTGAACAGAGTATGAAACAATAATGTATAGGTATGCCGTAAAAAACATTTCCGAAACACCAATAATGTCCCAGAAAATGTACGTATTTTCTACAAAGGTTCTGTTTATTTCGGAATTTTGTCCGGACGAATAGTAGTACACATGTATATATATATACACACACACCCTAAAATGAAGAAAGATACCGCACCTGTTAAGTTTGGACCCAGTTCGCAGTGTTCGTTCGGAAGTTTTAAAATAGATAACGTCGAGTATTTCCTTTCATGTAACAACAACAATATTATTGTTGTGCTACAAGTCGTATAATAAGATGTAATACGTATACACATAAATTATCTTTTATATTATTATATCTTATCGCACTCACTACTATACGTCAGGCGATGCGCTAAGCGTTATGTAGGTTTACGTCAAAATCGTAACAGCTGTTTTATCTAAAAAAAAAACAAATAATAATAATAATGCAGTATTTCGACATTTATAATTATTAAGAAAAGTGAAAACGTCTTCAAGCACATATAATCTACATTGTAAAAATAATTATTAGTTCTTGGAAATGGTCCGATATTACGAAAATTCAACGAAAATTTTTTAACTCATATAGCAAAATACGATGTTATGTATTGCATTTAGTCACTCGTTCGTTAATATTACACGAATGGCACATAATATTGTTTATGTTTTTGTTCGAGTAATACAATTTTCATAGTTTACCATGTGCATTTTCTGGGACCAAGAAACAAAAAGTGAGTAACATTTATCTACCACGATTAAAAATGCAAATAATTTAAACGTTAGTGTTATACGTGAACGTACGCCGATATATATCATTTTTTTTATTCTTCAGTACATTATTTTGTTTGCGGTTAGTAATACACGTATGTAATTCTTAACTTTAACACATATATCCTATGAGTAATTATGTCAAATATCTAATTGTATACTAAAAAATAAAAGATACGATTTTGTATAAAATCTTTCTACACACGTACATAAATACATCTATTCCTAAACATTGTTCAAACTCGTGCGTTTAATTAATATTAGTTAAATAGACACCTTGTAAGTATCGTAGTACATAAACGTACATCAACTACTTTTACTAATGTTTATTTCCGTTACTCTATGTTATTCATTATGTCTAATTACTTTAGTGCATTCAAAATCTGCTACATAATTATTTATTATTATTGTTATAATTATTTTTACGACATGAGAATGTTATATCATAAATTAAAAACAACAAAATCAAGAACCATGACTAGCGTAAAAACAGCATAATATTAATATTGTTTAAGAATTTAATTTTCCGCCATACATTTCAGCTAAAAATAAAACAGTTCATATTTTCTTTCATCAATTTAAAAAACCAATGAAATTCTAATGATTGGAAAAACGCGTATATTTTTATTCAGATAAAAAACAGAACACTTTATTAACAATCGTACATTAGGTTAGGTTTAGACGTACTTTATAACTGTTTTTCTTTTCTTTTTTAATTCTAAAGTGTCAACAATAGAATATAATATAACATTATATACTTTCTTGTAAAACCTTGTACATGCACGCATAAACGCAACTCCGTCCCCCAAAACCGAACAATGCTACAAATGTGCACCGTTGCGTATCGGTAAGATTTCCGTTTATACATCGCTGAATCTTCTGATATCAACTTCAATAGGAATTAAAAAAAAACATCTGTGTTTGACCTTAAACATTAAATAATATTATAAAATATTATACACTTAAGATGCTTAAGTAAAAAGTTTGACAATATATATATATAGCCAGGCTTAGTCGTTACTCGTCTTCAATGAACATACAAAAATGTATAACAAAATACAAAATACTTATTTACGTGATTATACAAATTGTAAGCATTTTCAATATATATTCGAGTAAATTTAATCAAGTCGGAATAAAAATCAACACAATAAAACTGTTATTTTTTTTAAATTCGCCACAAACAATACATTTACACTTGTATAATCAAGCATACATTTCAAAACGAATATGTATCATTACTAAACTATGAATAAATAATGCAGGTTGCGTATTTATTTTTTAAATGTTGTCATACGTTACATATAACCAGGCTCCTTGTGTAGAACTGATAAAACCAATTAGACAACTTTACTTTTTTTTTATTTAACATTAATTTAAATTTTTCGGCTGTGACTGAACATGTAACCAAATTAAATTTCTTTTTACGAAGCACGTTATATTCAAAACGCTGATTAGATTATGTGAACTAGTGACTTTAAAAATATATACACTATACACACTACATTAATCCCAAATTATAATTTAATCTTTCAAGTCTGGAGAAAAAAAATTGTCCGGATTCTTTTTCATACTACACTATTGGGTAAAGTTTTTTCAACTTAAACAAATTAAACAAACGTCCTATTTGTCATAATTATTCCATTTGCATTTTAATCTTAAGAAATTAAAAATTCCACCCAAATCCTACTGGTTATTTCGTCTGCGATCCGACAAGCTTGTACAGAGAATTTAATATATTTCGCTGTGCACGATTATCAACAGTGAAACAGTTACGCACCGCATGACGCATACACAACACATGTAAATGTCTACAGTTATGCTTGCCTAAATACTAATTGCTTATTGAACACGAATCACGTCAATATAAGGTTATTTGGTCGTAATTAAGGTTGATGATAGGTAGAAAACGTTTTCTAACCATGATGCGTTATAATATGCGTATCTAGTTTGAAAATAAGCAAATAAAATGTAGGTACTTAGTAGCTGAAAATGTATTCATCGCAATAATATTGGTTATATATATAAAAAAAAAAAAAACTCCGTGTGAAAGATCTGTCGTACATGTCGTCATCTTGTCTACAGCGATTTCAATCAATTTTCGAACAGTAAATAGGTCGATTTATTCCTTATTATCATTATGGTCCATGTAACTAACGTAAGACTGCATCGATTACGCGAAACGTATAATAACTGTAATAAAACAATCACGCGCGTATATTAAATACGATTACGAACAGAGATGATGGCCGAAACATCGTACGTTGCGCTTCTCGATAATACATATTGAATCGCGTAGTTTTTCGAAAGATCTTACGAAACTCAAAGTCAGCGAAAACGCTAAGACATCAAACGACATTATCGGACTCTTCGTCACGATGACTAAAACCGAAAAGTTTAAATTACTGTTCATGATACCGATAGTAGAGTTCATCGTATTTTGTACCTTTGTATACAAATACGGATACTTGCGCTGTGCGTTGCATCGCGATCAATGAAATTATTACGAAAAACAAAGATTTGTTTTATTATTATTATTATTCTGAAAAAAAAAAAGTCCGGTACAATAAAAATGATAAATAAAATACACCATTTCGAATTCCGATTCTAAATTTTTTATTCCCTTCACAGTGTTACGTGGTGTTACTGCAGCTGTACATTTTCCATACACTATGCTGTTCGTTAAATATTTAGGTAGATACCTATTCGCAAAAAGATAAAACGTATTACCTTCGATTTTCCACAAATTTACTTAAAAAGTTACTTAAAAACATAATGAGATCGGACAGAGTTTTACTCGGAGATTCAATCGTTTTTGAACATTAAAAAAATGTCATTCAATAATCCATATAATATCAAATGATCATAGTTACTTCTACTCAAATCCGCACTAACGTCAA